ACTCCACTCAGAAAGACCACTCTTCGAACCCAGGACCTTCTTGCTGAGAAGAGAGAATGCTATCCACTCACCCACCGTGCCGCCCCAATAGACAGATAAATACATAGATACCCATATAATCCATAACTGATATACGACTTTGAAGCCTCTCTGGATTGGCTTTCCGGGCTTTCCCTCCTCAGAGCCTCAGGTGATTCACACAAGAACATTTGGCCTAAAACTTGTCAAGGTTGCTGGCATTAGTCCTGGACACTGCTGTATGTTGCGTGCGCTGTACCTGTTTGAAAGCTTTAAGCTGCTCTGACAGACAGCGTCCCCCCGAGGAGGCCCTTAGTGTTCTTGATGGATTGTTCTAATGCCGCCGTACAGGCCCTGTCCTTGGTGCTTAGGCTAATTACCATCTCATGAATATTATTGAGCGCGTGGGGGAATCGGGGGCTCTAAATAAAGAATGAGGAGGCTGGCTCGCATTGATCACAAAGAGGAACGCTCACCTATAGGCTTTCATTTGCGCGGCTTAAGGAGGATTTCAAAGAGGGCAAATACAAGCTGGAGGTGTCAGGAGTGGAGAGGAATTGATGCGTGATCCATTTGGCTTAGTTCAAAAGGGCTTTAGTTTGTAGGGGAAATTAACACTTCTGATTTTTACATAGAATTAGCCTGGGTGTTTCAAATGTGTGCCCATTTTTATTTTTGGATTGTATTTTGAAAAGTGTAAAGACAACGTCATGACAACCAGCCATATTTTTTGGTTGAGCTGAGAAAAGTAAATGGGAAGAAGGATGAGGGGAGAGCAGGGTATAGATGTTAGAAATTACACTTTTGAATCCACGTGTACCATCAACAAACTCTGACAAGGGATGTGGCTGCTGAGGGGACTGGAAGTTTTGTTTTTTTATGGCGGTCCTAAATTGCAAAGTAAAATTAAAAAGTTGGTCGCTGTAATTCAAACTTAATGCAGAGGTTCTCAAAGGCCCATATCCCCAAACATGTCTTTAAATAAATACCTATAAAATGCTTTGACGTTTCTTAGGATTAACCCACTGCCAGACACTAGGGCTTTCAAGACAATAACTTATTTAGGCTGACTGAAACAGTAAAAATTCACAATATCAATTCAATCTGGAGAGACTCATGAGACAAAATGCAATTTGAAGTATTTTATTAAAGAATGTTTGGCACCCTAGGCCCCGGTGCGACATTGTTAAGCGCGGCTCTTGTTTGTCTGCGCATGAGATCCCCCGGGACCTAGGTACTGGTGGTGGCAAATGGGCAGCAGGAAAAGCGCACGCTCGAAGAAGGGCAAGAAGGAGGAGGCAGTGGATGCGAGGCTTGAGAAGGCCGAGAAGTGGGTGTCTCCGCCTTTTAAGTTGCTGGCCTGGCTGGCATTGGTTGACGGGAGATCGGCGTTTGCGGTGTGATAGGCCGAGGATGCCAGGCAGGCCTGCGGGAGATGGGCGGCAGCAGTTCAGTCTTCCAGAATTGAATTTCCGTGAGCTGCATTACCGTGAGGATGGAGTAAGGTTCAGTTCAAATAATCTATTCTCAACTTCTGTTAGTCGGGAATAGATTATTTTGGATCAATACTATGTAAAATAATGTCAATAACCAGAATGGAATGAAATAATCTGAGGTGGTCCCGTGCCTGTGCTCTAAAAGGTGATGTCAGCAACTTTAATCGAGTTCTTTTTTTAAAAGAATGCAAATTTCTCGAGATGGGATACAGTACACGTATGTATAGTACGTATTTTTCCAACAGTAATACATCTAAAAAAGTCCCACCTTGGCAGAAATACAACCAGTGAGATTTGCAGGAGGAGAGTAATTTAACCAATCAGGTAACTGCAGGGGTGAGCATGGGCGGGTCTAACCAAAAACCGCACTCTCTTCATAGTTTGACAAGTAACTGACATTTAATAATCACTTTTGCCAAAATTAATGGGGTTTTCTTCAAATCTCTGCAGTCGCTGAGGGCAGAACCAAGAAGTAACATTTATCATGAGAGATTACAATATCATTGATTTAAAAATAAGTTCTATGTTGTTAAAGATATTGTGCGAATAAAGAAAAAAAGATTACGTATACAGCATTTTGGTCCTTTTATTTCATTGTAACCACATTTCAAACAACTAAACAACCAATGGCTTCATCAGACTTAAAACACAAAGCATGTTAATAATAATAATAATAATAATCATATACAAAAATGTACAAAGTTGTGACAAAAAAATAACAAAATGTAGAAAAGAAATCTATAAAAACAAAGTCAGTGTGTCTTGATAGGTCCATAACACAAGCCTCGAAGGACTTTTGAAACACAAAAAGTCACATCATGGAAAAAGTTTAACATTTATCAAACAGGCTTTTTCATTGGAAAGAATCTGGTACGTACTGAATATGAAGAGAATAGAATGAAAAAATATGTTGTATTTTAAATGATTTGGGCGTAACAAAATGATCACTAGTTTTTAGGCGTTTAAAGCTGATTGCTTCCGATAATGCAGCTAATTCCAAAACATCATTTTTTGGCAGTGTCCGGCTCAAATGCCAAGAATATCCCACTTACACTACATTAACGACAGATTTAGTTTGAAACGTTTGTCCAACTTTGGATACATGTTCTTTGTTTTATTCCTGCACTACATTGTAAACGGTTTTCAGTGAACGTCCTGTTGGCACCTGATTCTTTTGTCATTCCGAACGATCCTTATTCCATTATTTTTAAGTACAAAATCATGTCAGAGTGAGTTTTCCTGGACCAAAACAGAAAACGGCCAATTAGCTGTAATTCAAAATTGAATTCTAGAAAGAACCTTTTCACAATGTGTTTGTAAATAACTGGTGAAATTCATCTCGTTGTGAATAATGTCTGTCTTTTTAGGTCTGCGGTCTTCTTTATCCTCTTCATCCCCCCGTTCTGTCCAGTTTAGAGAGAAAAATGAATCTTTTATTCTGTTTGTCTAATTCCTGGGCCAAAAAACCAAAACCCTCTTCTCCAAATCATTTGTTTGAAGCGAGTCCAAACACAGTGCGGTCGGTTTGATTGTGGCGATTAAAAATGTATTAGGCTTTGTTTACCGGTCGCTCTGCAGAGTTCAATTCAAAGTCGCTCAACTTGTTCAGAAGACAGTAACAAGTTTGTGGCACTTTGTTTGGGAAAGTTTCAACACCATATTATACACACACCATTATGGATGTGCCTGTCTCTGTCTGCACCAAAGTGACTCAAGTCTTGATGATTTTTGTCTACATAAATAATTACACTATCGTCATGTCCTTGTGATGTATGGTATCTGAATCTATAATGAGAATAATGGCTGTTTGTTTGACTGTGGTTGGCATTTCTTATGTACACGTTTGGTCGAATGCACACTTTAAGTTCCCGAGAGCCTTGACAGCAACGAGGGAAAAAATGTCATGAATTAAGAGTGAAAATTTGATTCAAAAACCATTTAAAGCGTCTTGCAATTTTCCAACTAGCTCTTCTGTATCGTGACCGCGCCAACGTATGTCGTCTGACAGTAAAACAGACTTAGATATATAATTAGTTCTGATAATTCCTTTAAAAAAATATAGCAAACATCTGATTGTCTGTTGAGACGGCCATAATGTGCTCCAATAAGTGAGATCTGTGGTTGACCTGGGTCACATTACAAATACATTGCATTAAATTCAAGAATTTATTTGACATTTGCAGTAAAACCACAATGGAAAAACCGTGCAAGACTACCCCAGTGTGCATCAGACAGTTAGCACACACCAGAGCTCATGCCGTTCCATCATTTTTAGCTTTTAGCCCGCATTAGTAATCAGATTATTGACACAGTTACACTTGATGTCAGCAATCTGAAATCAATAAAGTTATTTCTGGAAGTAGAATTGAATTTTGCACAACATACACAATTCAGTCTACATTTAGCTGGGCTTATTGTATCAGTCTAGTTGTCTGAATTGGCTGATTATGCTAATGTACCCACTGTTTATGCGTGTGTGTGGGTGTTAAGGAGGTCACATTGTATATATTAGAAAGTCAGGATTTCAAAGAATGATTGACAGTTAAGAGGACCAATCGTCTTGATGTACCACCCAGAAAAAGGGAATCCTCTTAAATACCTTTTAACTCCATGGAGCTCCACACAACAGGTGATCAGAGCCGTGTTGGTTCATGTTTCAGCGCAGACCAAAACATGTTACGGATTTCCCGACAAGTACCGCATGAACACGGCATTAGCTCAACCCGCTTCCAACTTTTCCTTCCCCAACACGTCCCGTAGACCACTTGGATTCGGGACAAAGCTATCTATATTCATTGGCATTTCCCTCCAGAAAAGAAAACTAATTACCGCAACCCTCGCTAGTGCGTTCAAGGAAATGGCCCATGTAAGATTCAGTGTAGCCAATTACTCCCGTGCGCCAGGCCCATTTATCATTCATGCTTTCCGTGTAGCGCTAGCCTTAGAGAAATTTAACAGCATGTGATTTCAAAGCAAAAGCCTGAAACGCTAACAAGCCCGCCTATTTGTTTTGCTTTGATCCACTCAAATGAATTACGGTTAACACCCACGTCCGCAAATAAATACTTCACTGCATTTCCTGCTCAATTAGTTCAGATGGCAACGTTTCCCTTTTTCCTTAAAATGTGCATTCAGCCAAAAGAGGGAGACAACATTCAAGGCATAGAATAGATCTCAAAAGAAAATTCTGTACAATAGTCACATCACAGCCCAGCGGAGGAAATGTAGCAATTTTTTTTTAAACTTAGATTTGTCAACATAATATTTTTTTTTGTTTTCTGTACAAGCGATATAAAGTCCAGGGTTTCGTCTTCTGTACAGTTTCAGGCACACGTTTTAGGTTCATGCCCCTCCGGTTTTCCCACATGCACGCTCTACACGCACACACGCGCTCGCTCAGAGGGGGGCGGGTCCGTTTGCACTTTGTGTGAGCCGCTGCGGAGACTGGCGGCAGCGTCGGCCAATCAGAGACGGGGGGGCGGGAGATCAGAAGGAGCTGAGAGCCTCCAGGGCCACTTCGTAACAGAACTTGTACTGCTCCTGTGGAGGTGGAGAAACAGACAGGTTTGATGAACGAGAACAAATGTGGTATTATATTATGACAGATATTATGGTTCCATTATGAGCTGACAACATTGGGCCTCATTCACGAATAACTTCGTAAGAAACTACTCAACTTTCTTCTCAAGTTGTCCTTGAGTAGATTTCTAAGAAGTCCCCACGTGGGATTCATCAACGCACTCGTAAGCCGCTGAATTGTTCGCAGCTGTTCTCTCAGATTGATGAATCCCATTTCCTCGTAAGTACAGCGCGCGTGCCAGGTGCTTCATTAGCATAGGTACTTAGCATAAGTAACCGCCCACTAATGCCCATATAAGGGGATGCAGGGCCGTGTGCAGACGGCAGAGGAAACAGCAACAGGCCTAAAGCAAAGAGTTACACGGAGCAAAAGAGTCACCCTTTTTTCTTCTTTTACCAGACAGAGAATAAAGTTATAAAATGTTGACTTAAAAGTCGAAATATTATGATAATAAAGTCGAACTAGCAAAATTATGAGATTAATCTAAGAATATGATGAGATTAATCTCAAAATGTTATGAGCTTAATTTAAAAATATATTATGTATTATTTTAAATATGAATCTCAAAATGTTTTGAGATTAATCTCACAATATTTTGGACCCTGGGAGGAGATCCAGCGCGGACCAGCGCTGAGACCAATGCAGACCCGAGGAGAGACTGGAGTGACCAGCACACAGAAACCAGCGCGGACCTATAGGAGAGACCGCATAGACTGGAGAGACCGGTGCGCAGAGACCAGCGCGGACCCGTATGGATCCAGGAGCATGCAGCACGGACCCGTATGGAGAGAGACCAGTGCAGACCCGTATATGGGAGAGACCAGTGCAGACCCGTATAGATCCATGGGAGAGACCAGTGCAGACCCGTCTAGATCCATGGGAGAGACCAGTGCAGACCAGTATAGATCCATGGGAGAGACCAGTGCAGACCCGTATATGGGAGAGACCAGTGCAGACCCGTATAGATCCATGGGAGAGACCAGTGCAGACCAGTATAGATCCATAGGAGAGACCAGCGCAGAGACTCAGCGCAGACCCAGTAACCTCCTGCAGCAACAGTATATATGCCGTTGTTCTGTGGCCCGTGGATAAAGAAATGCCCCCTATAAATAGGAAGGGGTCACTAATACACGGCAAGATTTCCAATGTATTTGATGAAGCGTTGGCACATTTCGTTTCAAAATGAATTAAAAAGTAGGCCAGATCTGCAGTGAAAAAGGCGGTATATAAATAAAGATTACTACAAATAAATAAATACATACATCGATATGACGGACATATCACTAGAATGTTGTATTTTTATTCAACTTCACCAAAGAGGACAACCCCGGCGTGTGAACATGTCGGCACTGAATGCGTACGAGTGCTCCTGAGGACTCGTAGGATTTGTACTTGCCCAAGAGAAATTCTGGTTACGAGAAATATTCGTGAATGCCACTTTCTTCGTAAAAACCGCGTAAGTAGGATTTACGTACAAATCTGTTCCTAAGAACCGTTCGTGAATGAGGCCCATTGAGCCCAGTGAACAACGGCACGTTCCTTTTTGCATGCACCACATCCATCACTTCAGCCAGGGGATGTGAGCAAAGTGTTTTGTCCAGATGCACAACAGCAGCTCTTATTTTCTTAATTTGATAAGTATTAAGTCTACAAAGTGTGTATAAATGCACAGTACAAAATGGCACAAGACCAAATGGAATAGACTGAGGCAAAGGCATGATTAGAAACTATGCAATATTTTAACTATGCATCTGTAAGAAGAATAAACAGTTAAAACAGCTGTAATTCGGAGACTGAATAGACCCATTTTAACTTTCATTACCCCCAAAAATCCCAAACTGAAAGCTTTTGTTAATACAATACAATACAATTTTACAATACAATTTATTCTTGTATAGCCCTAGGTCACAACAGAAGTCATCTCAGAGGACTTAACAAAACCATTGAAATCACCAACACAGGTCAGAGAATCAACAGTTAAAACACATGAAGAATATATAAAGCACACACAGAAGAAAATGTCCATACATGTTGTAGAATGCTAAAGTGTCCTGATCATCACCAATCCTTTCTGTTGGACACTAACTGTCCAACAAGACCCTCCTGCATCGACAAGGAAAAACTCTTAAAAAACCCAGTGGGAAAAAGTGAGAAACCTTGGAGGAGAACTAGGGAAACCCACAGGGAGGGAGACCCATATGAGAAAGGGATCCGCTCCTCCGGACGGACAGACTAATGATCCAGGACCTAAGCTAGCTACAGGACGTGGACCAGTGGACGCTGAACGTGGACAGGTCCGGTGCAGGACCGAAGCACTCCCAGGCGGGTCGGGCGGGGCAGTCCGCAGGTGTAGATGGAAGAGGCCAGGCTCAGAGATCCCGTCATCGTACCATGAAACAGACAATGGGACAACGGGTGAATAGCAATGAACAAACTACAGTCAGAATCCTAAAAATGCTAAACAGATAAAGTAGGAAGGAGGAGAGGATAGTGCTCAAGTTACCATACTTCTCCCAGCAAACTGACTCCCTATGCAGCTTGACTGACACTCTGAGGAGTTTAACCTTCTCCGAGTCTTACCTTCCTAGCCATATGCTAAACTAAAGAGGACTGTTTTAAACCTAGCCTTGAATAAAGAATAACATACAGCATAATATATAACATAATATCACAACATAACACAATACATTATTGAATAATATATAACATAATATATAACATAATACAGCATATATATATAATATATACACTACATATTATATATTACCTAATTATATGCTAAATTAAAGTAAAGTGCTTTAAGCCTGGCCTTGAATGTGGAGACCGTATCTGCTTCCTTAACATAAATGGGAAGCTGATTCCACAGTAAAGGAGCTTGGTAGCTAAATGCTCTGCCACCAACAGTGACCTTTGAGACCTTAGGGACCACCAGACGTCTGGCGTTTTGTGAGCGCAACGCTCGACTTGGTTGATACGACACTAACGTGTCTTGGAGATAAGAAGGAGCCAAGCCATTTATGGCTTTATATGTTAAGAGTAGGATTTTAAACTTTATTCTGTACTCCACAGGGAGCCAGTGGAGTGATTTTAACACCGGAGTTATGTGCTCCCTCCTTTTGGTACCTGTTAAGATCCTAGCTGCTGTATTCTGAACGAGCTGGAAGCTCTTCAAAGAGGCTTTAGGGCACGCTGCCAGTAAAGCGTTACAGTAGTCGAGCCTTGAGGTGACAAACGCGTGAATGAGTTTTTCCGCGTCACTTTTAGGAAGGAAATTCCTAATTTTAGCGATGTTCCGTAAGTGGAAGTACGCCGTTTTAGTTGCTTGGCTTATATAAGCCTTGAAGGAGAGTTCTTGGTCAAAAATGACTCCAAGATTCCTCACAGTGTTACTGGGTATTATACTGACATTATCGAGAGTAACCATCTGGTTAGTGAGGGAGTCACGCAGGCGCTTCGGACCGAGTAGGATCACTTCTGTCTTCTCCGGGTTGAGAAGTAGGAAGTTAAGAGTCATCCACATTTTAAGGTCCTTTATGCAGGCACTGAGCTTTTCTAGCTGATCTGTCTGATTAGGCTTCATCGACAGATAAAGCTGTGTGTCATCTGCATAGCAGTGGAAATTAATTCCATGCTTTTTAATAATGTTTCCCAGTGGCAGCATGTAGAGAGTAAAAAGAATCGGTCCGAGTACCGAACCCTGCGGCACACCGAATTCCACTCCAGAATAAGGCGACGAGTCCTGATTCACATTGACGAAGTGATATCGATCTGATAAATAGGATTTAAACCAGCCAAGGGCTGTTCCTCTAAGACCTATATCACATTCTAGCCTCTGCAGTAGAATGCTGTGGTCTATTGTGTCAAATGCAGCACTAAGGTCCAGTAGGACCAGCACTGACACTTGTCCATTATCGGCAGCTAGTAGTAAGTCATTTGTGACTTTGACTAGTGCCGTTTCAGTGCTATGATGAGCTCTGAATCCAGATTGAAAGACTTCAAACATATCATTTTCCTGCAGGTGGCAGCGGAGCTGCTCAGCTATAAGTTTTTCCAGGATTTTAGATATAAAAGTGAGGTTCGAGATCGGTCTGTAGTTTGTAAGTATTTCTGGGTCCAGGTTTGTTTTCTTCAGAAGGGGTTTGATTACCGCGGTTTTAAAAGCTTGTGGGACATAGCCACATTGTATGGATGCGTTTATTATATTTACGATAGGCTCAATTATCAAAGGAAGTATGTCTTTGAAGAGCCATGTCGGGACTGCGTCTAACATGCAAGTTGAGGCTTTTGAGGATGTGACCACAGAGATCACCTCTGCTTGGCTCACAGCCATGAATTTATTAAGGCCCACTGAAGAGTCTAAGTGGGAAGTCACGTATGCCGCTTCAACCTGTCCACCACTAATCTTGCATTGATCCACAAACTGTTTTGCTTGAGAGCACAGACTGCAATCATGTCTTGCAGACACTTGCAGTTCAAGGGGTTTTTTCAAACATAAAAAAGATAATTATCACAATTTTTTTTCTTTCAGTATATGCACTTCTCAATGTTTTCAGTTAGTTTGGCATTTGTATTCTGTTCTGTGGTCAGTGTTGCTCTCGCGATAAAAACTCCTGGAGCGGTTAGAGCCACAGGTGCAGCTCCCTCAGATGAACACCTCACTACCCTGTCCCAATATTGTGTGGGTGTGTGTGTGCGTGTGCGTGTGTGTGTGTGTGAATGCTTCAGGAAGTTCAGTAATTTCAAATTAGATGAAGAACCATTCAATAGTGTTAAAATGACTTACAAATCACATGTAAGTCTGTATAATAATCACATTTGAAAACAGGTTTTTAATTATTCTATTACAGGAATGGTGCTTTATGAAATGGTGGTGGAAGTTGGAAGTTGGAAGTTGGAAAAAAACTGTAGTGTGTTACGGAAACAGAAAGTAAATTAGTAAGTCATCTTCATTTATATAGCGCCTTTCACAGACCAGAGTCACAAAGCACTTTACAATTGTGGGCATTTGTCTCTCACTCCACAGAGTGAGAGACAAACTCTGCCGTAACGGAGGCACATACCAGATCTATTGTACATATTTTTAGTAGTAGGGGACACCGGAGCAGCCGGAGAAAACCAATGCAGACTCAGGGAGAACATACAAATTCTACTCAGAAAGGCCCTGTTCCGACCGGGATTCAAACCCAGGACTTTCTTGCTGAGAAACTGGAGTGCTATCCACTAAGCCAATAAGTTATGAAACACAATGGAACATGAGCCATCATGAAGATCTGTTTGTTATTACATTTGCTGTTCACTGTAATGTGGTTTTTAAAGAGTACAACTGGAACATTGGCCTAAATATAATTTTTGTCTGTGTTGAAACAAAAGTTTGAAATAGTGTAAATGTGAGTTCAATGACATGAGACGAAGCTCTCACCAGAGTCTCCACCATGTGCGTCTTGTTGTTCCTCAGAGTCTTGACTGTGTGGAACACGTCCACAATGTTTTGCTGCTGGATCATCTCACTGATGCTGCAGATCGCACAGAACGTCCCAGAGCGTCCTCCTCCAGTGCTGCAGCAAGACAGGAGCAAAGAGTCCTTACACATGTTTACAACCATATCATTCACAAGCAGCATAACACCACATTTCAGATTTGAATATGAAATACAAGAAAACTAAGGGGCCAGAGGCATTTCTCCAGTTTTTAGAGATCACTTTGTCTCCTATGGAATGCCTCTCAGGAATCATATCAGACATCATTTGAGTGTGTGTCCTCTAAAATACAAATAAGCAATCTACTTCAATACTGTACTATTATGTACATGTTGATAATTGCTGTTGATGACAGAAATGCAAAAGAGCTGTGTTATGTACTGTACTTGAAACCTTGGTCTGACTGAGCATGTGAGTGGCCCCACCCACAGCAGAGGGCACACTCTAGACCTGCTAGTTATGAAGTTATTGTGGTCAATGTTGCTCTGTTGAATCATTACTGTATATTTCTTTTACATCTGGGTTTGGAACTGTTAGGACCAGGGGAATAACTGAAGTAGCATGCAAGTTCTGTGTCACAAACTTTGGCTGTGTGTGTTGCACCCTCTGCTGTTAGTTTACTGCAGCGGAACTTCCTCTGGAGCTTAAGTCTTAACATGTTTTATGATTAACAAAGCCAAGAGCTCAGTGTTTCAGTTCTGTCTCCATTTAGCAGCAGATAGTTATCACCTTACAAACAAGAACGCTATTTTGGAAGTATTCTATAAACACAATATATTCTATAACCCATTCCATCAAAATATTGCCAAAAATACATGCCTTGAAATTCAAAGGGTTTTACTATAAATACTGTTTGTTACATTCAAAATAACTATAATCATAGATTCTCCCATATAAAGCCTTCTTCTACTCTGGATGTTTTTGAATCACTCATTTTTGTGTGTGGTAATCATTATCCTACTGTTTGCAACACACACACACACACACACACCCACACACACACACACACACACACACAGACACACACAACTGAAAGCATCTAGAAGATTTCTGTTCATAGACTGCTTCATTAATGCGAAGCTTATCGCTTAAAACACATTTAATTACTGCTGTGTGGGATTAAATACTGAGGAGATTATAGACTTTAGTTTGCGCTTGTCATTTCATCCTAATTCATGGTCATGTATTGATTACTGTTTTGAGACCAACAGAGTAATGTACATAGAACACAACCATAGAACAGTCTTATTTATTTAAAACAGACTGAATGCGGTTGTCCTTATGTTGATAAAATGTGCCCAAAGTTGTCTCCAATATGAATATATCAAATAAAGTGCAATCTGTAAAAACAATTACCAAAAAAATTTGCTAGTCCGCTCCCACACTGCACCTCCAGTGAGTGGAGGGAGTGTTTGTGAGGCTGTGGTACAAGTGGATCCCTTATCAGGAGAAAACAGGTGCTTCTGTCTCAACAACACATTAGTCCTGCAGGCGCTCCCCGTGGACAGTGTGTGGTCCGCTGTCTGACACAGGTCACATGCCCCGGCTCCCATTCATCTTGCATTGCAAAAGTGTTCGGCCACGACTAAGCAAGAGTGTACTCACAGACAGTGCACCACCGTGCGGCCATCTCCTCCATCGTACTGCTCCTGCCACTTGGCCAGTCTGCGCACCAGCTGCAGGATGGAGCGCTTGGACAGGGGCGTGTCCCTGTAGGCCGGCCAGCCAATGAACTGGAAGTGCTGCACCAGGCGGTACCCATCCTGAGGCTGCATGGAGGAAACACTATTTGTTAGTTACAAATCAATGGAACTTTTCTCAAAAGATCTCTCCACAACAAAGCAGAACAACGAACAACCAAAAAGTTGAATATAAGAAACAGAAAGTGTGTACATGAAATCCAACTGCGGTTTGTAACGTACACAGACTCGAGTCAGACAGCCACGCGGACTCACGGGGTTCAACACAAGGACAGCTGTTTAATCATCAGGAGACCAGGAGCAGACCGCTCTGGTCTCCTGGTGATTAAACAGCTGGTAAAAATATACCGGCACCGCACTCGCACTGCACCTACAGGCTGCTATGCAGAGCTCCGAGGTCAAGGTACGTCTAGTTTTAAGAACATTCTGTATAATGCAGGACAGTCAGGGTATGTGGACAAGCCACAGATGCCCTGGGGCAGACGGAACATAGGCCCATAGTCATTGTCCAACACCGACCATTCTCACACTAGATTCAATACCTTTTGACATAAAGGAAGGCATTGTGTTTTAAGATGGGTACACTACACAGCCTTCAAACTTGACAGAAAACCCTTCATATGAAGATCATATTGGTGTAAAATGCATATTTGAAGATTCTGTTTTTAGATTTTATTCTTTTACAGAATGCAGGTATTCACCACTATCCTACAGTTTCCAACAGCCCATTATGTTTCTGCTCATGTATAAAAAGCCGACTGATGTGTGTAATCGGCTCCATTTGGAGTCACTGTGTAATGAAACAAATTGGATTGACTCTGCAAACACAACATCTTATAATGCAAATTGAATTTTGTGCCAAAGTAAATGTTTTGAATGATTTGTCCCTGCAGCAGTTGGCTTCAGTTCTGTAGATAGTGACAGCGGGTGTCCCTGTCTGTCAGACTGATTTCCTCTGACGCTAACACATGCTAATGCTAATGCTCAGTGTGTGGCCTCAGGAGGAGAACTAAACCAGAGCATCACAGACGCTAAACAAAAAAGCTTTAAGACCAAGCTTAACCTATTATTCACGGACAATGTAAGTTATGCTTCTTAGACTTTTAAGAATGGGAATGTAAAATATTTTCAGAATTTCTTTGTATTATTGAGGTTCTGAACTATGTAATGCCATTATCTTTTCCATTTGAAATTCCTTCAGTAATACCTCTATCACCCTCAGAGCATCAGTCAGCTCAGTGTGTGCTGACGACAAGAGCCATTTCACACTGCACTGGTGATGAGTGTGAGCGCAGACAGAGGAGTTCATATAAAACACACACAGAGTCTCCAGCAGGCCGCGGTGAGAGCAAGGACTCATGCGGCTGTGTATAATGAGATGAAGAGTCCTGATATTAAAAACTAAAGTTAGTGGAAAGGTGAAAGACTGGTCATTCCATTAGAAGTAATTATAAAGACTGATTTTGATTTGAATGAGCAGATTGGAAGATAAAAACAGGTTTTATCTCACTCATTTTCAGCATGCATCAAATAGACTTTAGTGTGCGCGTACCCTGGCCATGTTGCAGATCCTGAAGATGCGGTTGATGATGTCTTCATCGATGTCGGCTGAAATAAACTCCACCTGAATCGGTCCATAGCAACACGAGCTTTTCTCGGGCCAGTACTGCATACACAACTGGACAAAGGACAATAATTTCAAATATATTAAGAATTGCGTTTACATGGTCAAAAAAACAGTTAAACGTGGCAACATATAGATCATGTCAATCTCAGGCTCGTGGGCCAAATCTTTCCCGCAAGACAATTTTTAGTGACATTCAATTATTATTATTAACTTGCAGCATTGATGATTTGGGCAACCAAGGCATGTTATACATAATCTATGTTTTCAAGAAAACTATCTTAGATGAGGATATAAGTAAATACATACTTCAGTTTCAGACGACAACATGTTTAACGTTGTATTTTGTCCACTTTTTAAAATCTAACCCCAACTCTACACCATAGTTTATTTTCAGGAAAAATCAGCCAGAAGAAAAAGTTGCGTCATAATACCTTCATAATGTAAAAAACAATGTAAAAATGTAATGTAAAAATCCATTCTATTCTTTCTCATTCCTATTTTGTATTTTTTATATTCGTTACTATTTTTTCCCGGCCCCTGACCAAAATGAGTTTGACACCCCTGAAGAGAAACCACTATGTCTGGTTATAAACAATCCTGTCTTATAATTTGAATAATAAGATGTATAATACTATCAATGTTCACTGTTGTGTATCTTCCTGTTGGTTGGATAGTCGGATAGTGGTGCAGCCTGCGGGAGACTATAAATAAAGCCTCATGAGTAATGGAGACGTAGACAGACTCATTCATAAAGAAGGCCGCCGTGCACCACCACACTAAAAATACTCTGGAGAATTTCTCAAGTTCAAAAGGAGAAAGGAGAGAGTTTTGAAGTCAGTTTGTACCTGAGCTGCATCCATCTCATTCAACATCACAATAGACGAGCAGTTATAGTCAAACACCAGCCTCCAAAAGTCAGCCATCGTGTTGGGCAAAGGATGCTGGGTAACAATGAAGGCCGCGGGCTGCTTATGGCTCTGAGGGAAAAGAGCCGATAAATACGAGTTTAGTTTTGGGGTCACAACATGGATATCAAAAGTAGTTAAGAGAAATAAAGTTTGCAGCTTACACGGACACTTACATCCATTAAAGCAGCATTGATGTAGTTGGAGCTCTCTCCGTCCACTGATATGAGGAAGGGCAGGCAGCGGTCAGCGGACAGGACGTCCATACTGCGGTTTTTATCGTGATTTCTTGGTAACAAACCCACACTGCAGTCCTCAGGGCGCACTCGAGGTGTCACTATGTTCAACGTCTGAAAAAGGACAATTCAAATGTTATTGTTATCGTTAGACTTATATCCTCATTAATGAATGAAATGTTGTAAAAAGGGAAACATTTTCTGACCTGGAACTCGTCTTTGATCTGACTGGAGTTGGTCTGAGGGTCTATCCTGCTGATGTTGTAGTAAACGGCTCTGAACTCACACACTGGGATGGCGGTGTTTCCACAGAGGCAGGCCTCCAAGATGGCGTCATGAACAAATACATACTGCTCCTGCAAATGACATTTTATTACAAACCAACCTAATGTGTTCCGGAAGTTGTTTTTTTGGCTCTTTCTTTCACCAATTATAAGACTTCAAGCCAATTATCTCCAGATCGAGTGTTTACCTTCTACAGCCTCATTAGGCTTGCTTTTATCAGTTCCCATTCATTTACTTGTCAGTGCCCTGCTGTGGACTAAATGCCATTTGTTGGCTGTGGGACAAAGGGCTAGAAAACCACTATGATTGATTCTGGTGATTAGACACCAGTGAAATACCAAACAGGAAAAGCATATGGTTGGAACATTTCCTCTTTCGAACAGAAAATCTATTTGAGAACAGATTATTTGCAGTCGTATAATATGATATGGGGCCATCTGGAATCAGATTTGTTCACTTACCTCAGTCTGGACCATGTTGACTCTCTGTGACCTCAACTCTCGAATGCAGTTAAAAATATCCACAACGCCTTCGTTCTCTGCCATGTCCAGCATAATGTCCACCGCAATGAAGCAGCCTGTTCGCCCCGCGCCAGCACTGCACAAACAAACACACATATAATGGGCTGCAGCAAGACATCTGCAGTTCAACACTTCAGCGGTCATTTCTGCGACAGGGACATTGCAAGAACATTTTGGTACAAACGCTAAAAAGACATACTGAAGCTCCTGTTGTTGACCTGCTGTTTGTGAAATGGTCTGATACCTGCTGCTTGACAGGTTCAAGACCACTGGCAAGGGGCAATTAATAAAAGCAACACATTTTATAATTTGCTTTGCTTGAATTAATAACATTTACATTCTTCAATTATGGCGAATATAGTGCAAGGAAAAACTGTACCTTGGGAGTATTTGGGCCAATGGTGGTTATATTTGTTTTGGTTCAAGCACTATTTATTATTACAGTTTGATCTGTAGTACAGTCTCAGGGAGATTTAGACATGCATTATTTTGGGAACACTTTCTGTTCTGTTCAGCCTCTCAAACTACAGACTTTTGTGGCTCCTCTCCATGTCCCTGCAAACATGAATCAGCAGCATATTATTTTTCTCCAACAGAAGAACAGGTCCATCAGTCGTTTCCTTGTCCATAAATGAGATCCATGTGTTAACCTTTACAAAGTGGCCACTGGGAAACAAGACAAACGCAGAGCTTTTATACTTGTAATGTTCTTCAGCTTCGAGATAAAAAAGAAGTGGTCGTTTTAAGGTCCCCACGGCGACAGTATATTGTGCTCTTTATGGGATGTAACAGTTGTCTCTGAGGGCACGTTCTCAGCAGACGCTTTAAAAGGTCAGTGCTTTGACAAGACCTGCAACTTCCTCTGCAAGGTTCAACTTATTGAAGAAGGATCTTTTTTTTCAAATCAAGATGAGTTTTGTGAGTTTTTGTTTGGATTAGATTAGCTTTAATTATGAATTCTAACACTTTCAACTTATATGTGCTAAAATGGCATTGCGTTGCTCCTCTTGAGGTGAAAACATCTGGTTGCAAATTGTTCTCCACTTCAATGGAACTGAGAGCGAACTTGTTGAGACAGAGCCGCGGGTAAACAGATAGCTTGGAGTAAAACTAAAACTTGTCACTTGTGATTTGGAGGTGTGCTGTGACGCCTTTGGCCCGTGTCACCAGGCTTCACCCACACAGCCTCCGTCACACACAAGGGCTGTGCAGCTCTCAGCATTAATCATGAGGCTGACAGCTAATCTCCCCTCTCTCTCTGCCGGTGTCTTTGGTAAAACGTCGGGGGAATTACAAAGTGAACGATGGCTCCTCCTCCGATCCCTCCGTCCGTGGCCTGATCTCTCCCCCGTGACTCCCATCCCTGCTCTGCTGTTTCCTCCACCTTCACAGGGGCTTAGCTTCACTTTCGACGGCAACAATTCAGCATGTTTCACCCTTGTTGCATGAATCAAAGGGAAATGTTCCATGTTGAAAATGATAATTGAAAGGGAACATTTATTTTGTCTTAAAACTGAGTCATGCATTTGGTTAATTTTTCCAACCTCATTATCACTAGAAGCAGATACGGTCATTGGTTAAACAAACTGACATTACAGTTCACCGATTGGAAGCCGTAGGTAGAGTTTAGGCACATTAGGTCCATGTGGGGAAATCCTGTAGTAACTTTGGGCCCTCAGTAATACAGTTACAAATTCAAGTAACTTGAGAGGCCTTGCACACATAAGTAAAACTGTACATGGATAAATAAGATGAGTACAGTTCTGGGCTAGTTACTTTGGCAGAGCTGTGTAACTGACCTGCAGTGGACCACTATGGGACCAGCGTCCGGAGGGTTCAAGAACTTGACTTGTCGGATGAATCCCAGCAGCCCAGTGGCGTAACAGGGAACGCCATGATCGGGCCAACTGGTGAAGTGGAACTGTCGCAGCTCCCGGATCTCGTGGTGGCCTTTCTGTGACCCAGACGTAACAAAGACATGAGGAATTTACATGATGATTATAATGCATTTGTAATGATGGCTTACAGTACAATATGTAAGGGAAAACGTATAGTACGCAGGTCATTATCGGAAAATAAGTACCGACAGGGCGAAGCGGACAGTTAGGATAGCAACTTCCAAACTAGAACTCCCTGGAACTGCATGAAAACTGAACAAAGAATTGTGAACATCAGCGGTGAGTGACCCAAACATAAACCTAACCTAAATCCATATTTCGATCCTCTGCAAATGTGTCCTAAAATGTGCCGGTATCTACAGTAGTTCCGGGTTTTTCGGGATTGCCTTTTCTCGCATTACATCAGTGTTTTTGTCATGAAAACGTAAACGGAAAATTCTGAAAACTTCCGTGCACTTGTATTAAGAATATATATGTCCAATGTACTCTCCAATTAACATTTAATGGCTTTGATTGATTGGCATTTGCGTTTAATGAGCGTGACTAGCTCCAGAGTGGCCGGAACTACTTCCGGATTTTTCATGGTCGCTTTTTGACGCAGATAAATAGTATTTTTGTCATGAAGACAAGACCAGTAAATTCTGAAAATCTCCGTGCACGTGTGTGAAGAATGTATAAGTATTCTCCGATTAACATTTAAGTGTGTTGATTGATTGGTATTTGCGTTTATTAAGCGTGGCTAGCTCCGGAGTGGCCGGAACTACTTGCAGAGTTATCCACGCATCTGAAAGACAAGCAGAGTGCGTTGCCATGGGCAGCGGTCATTTTTGTTTTGAGAGGTCCGTTATAACAAATGATGACCGGTAGAACATTTTTAAATGACATTCAAATCAATGGAGCGTTCTACTGCTGCAGTGAGGAGCCGTTTAATAAGTGTAAAAAAAGGTTAAATAAAATAAAAAGGTTTCACACTGTGGGACAGTGCCCTTGTTGGTGTCAGATGGACTAACTGCCCTATAACAGCCTTGGGCCACAAGAAAATCTCATCTTTTATCTGTATTTCTCTGGGCAATTTAAAAGTTACTCAAACTCTTCAGCAACCCTGAGCACATCATGAGCTCTGAACAGGCCTTTCTTTTACTTTCTCAGTGGTTTCTCATAACGATGCATTGAATAATTCACACTTATTGATCGCTTTATTCTGTAGCAGCTAAACAGGGCTTTAGTGGAAGAGAGTGTGTCCTTCTCTGCTCAGACCTCAGAGGACACTGCTCTTCTCACAAATGTAATTCAAGACTGTGGGCTGTATCGAGCTGTTTGGTTCAGTCTCCAAAACAGGGTCACAAGGTGGAGAGTGGAGCGGAAGGAAAACGGAGGAGAGTTGGTGAAACAGGTGACAAAGAATATGTACACAAAAGCAGGGGGGATAGAATGTGCTCTGCTGCAAGGCCAGTTGAGACGCAGAACCCCATTCATGATCAATAATCACTGGTCCATCCCTGGGAACAACAATTCAGATTATACTTGGCCTCAATAACGATGCAGTTCAAGGAGAAGGGAATGTCTACTTTTTCTATTTATTGTACGGCACATGAAAGTATTATAAATAATGTTTCTGAAGCTATAGGAAAATAATTGTGTGATATTCAAATAATATCTGTATCACACTAGTGTAATAATTATTGTAATGCCCTGACAACGTTAAACGGTAAAAAATGTAGTATTTTAGTGATTTCATTGATAAGTGACAACAAGCAACATTTTTTTGCCACATAATTCACGTTGTCATGTCTTGTCGCAACAAAATAGGTATTAAAAAATTTAATTAATCAGTGAGTGAATTAAATATCTGTGTACATCTGGCTCCATGTTGTGTTCACTGAAGCAAATGATTTTGATTATTTTTGTATACATAATTATTAGAAGTTTTTGTACATATATTGTATTTATATTCATTTATTCTGGATATGATGATTCTACTTAAAAAACAAAACAAAAACTTGAATGTGCATGGAGGTTTTCTGTCAGTCCTTTGCTGCTGCAGGGATTGAAAGAGTATTTTAAAGAAAACCTATATTGTGCTGATCATTTCTTAAGTTTTGGTAACTTCGACTGAAAACACACCACACAATGATGGCATTTCCCTGTCAACCAACCCATACACACACTGTGGGTTTCTTACACCATTCCCTGGAGCACGGGGTAATCTAAAGCAGTTCAAGTATACACCTCCATTTCTAAGCCCACACCCCGCATGAACCGTCTCCACTCCTTTCATTAGCGTCGCAGCGTTTGGGCATTTAGTCAAGTGACAGACGAGCTGGTCCTCTGAATGTGAGAGACTGAACACAGAGGTGCACTGGATTAATGTCTTTCCAAAGCAACTGGAGTTTCAGGCGCGTCTTCATAAGCGGCTTTAGCTCCGGAGCAGAGCCGTGGTGACTGAGGGGTGGGGGCTGAGGTAGCAGAAAGTAGCTGACATAGAAAGCTGTGAAAAATTGAGGTGCGACGCCAGAGCATATTTGCCCACAAAAGGTTTTTAATGCGGGCAAAAGTGCGTGCTGAGATATTTTTACTTTTTCTCTTCTTTTTTTGCCTTTGCTTTAGGGATCACGTGTTTGTAGCTTAGACGTGGCCTTCGATAGTCGTCAGTGATGGAAAAATGAAACATATATAAACACAATATTTTTACCTTTTGTACAGAGAAGGTGCGTATGACGTATTCAGCCAATGGTTCTGTCTCAATGAGGGTGACTTTAATGTCGCCGTACACCTCTGTCTCATCAGGCCAGTAGCGCACACATTTGACCTGGAAAATGTATAATGGTTAAAAACTGGAGGTAGAAAGCAGTGGCGTAAAAAAACACACACATCTGTATAATGTGCGCTGCTAGTTTTGGATTTCCTTCCCCCTTCTCTCGCATGTCCTAATCCCAAAATTTGATTGACTCACCCGTCCCACCTCCACCAGGTTGGTTACCATGACGATGGAGGCGGAGTTCTCTTGCCAAACCATCCTCCAGAAGTCCCTCACGGTCTCCTGCATGGGCCCTGGAGAAAACAGAGGAATTTAATACACACAAGCAGAAAAGGGGGGGCATTTATATGTAAAACCGACAATTTATAAGTATGCAGTCTATAAAAGTACTCAAAAAAGTATTTAAAATGTATTGTTAACAGCAGGGGTACACACACCACTGCTATTTTGTCAATAAACAGGTAAAATGTTGATAACGTCAAGTCCTATATCTTTTGAGGACAAGTTGCCTCCTCAAAAAGGACTTTTCTCACTCATTAAACAAAAAAAGCAATTTTGTAAAATTATAGTAACTAATAAATAAAACATTGTAATCATTCGTGCAGTGAAAAGTCTAGAAACTTAATGTAGAATCTTAAGTCTCTTGGTTTAATACAGATTTGTCTATTATTTTATGTATATATCGTTACAGGCACATTTCACCAACTACACTTTGCCTGGATATTTTCTGTGGAATAGTACGCACAAATGGACACACTCACACAAACCTATGACATCATACATTGCACACAAATATGAAATCCACAGAGCGCAGTGACACCCCAGAGGCTCATGCTGTGGGCTTAATTACCTTGTGAGGCGATGTAATGTCTGGGTCTATGGTACCCCTGCGACACACACAAAAAGGCACACATAAAACATGTGACATCATCGCTCCCCTCGGGTCACATGACCTTCTACAGCTCTTTCTCTGATTTTATGCTTTCTCTGCGCCATAAAGCATCGCTGTGGGTCGTACATTAGCTTATGTCCCTTAGTAAAGGTGTCATCATAAAATAAACGTGTGTTCGTAAAAAAACGCATTGAAATCAAGTTTACACAGACTTTGTTGCTTTGATCTTATGTTGGAGATTATGAATGAAACACTTATTGTCATATAGTGCCATATATTATCAAATACAAATCTTAAATCTTAAAATTTAAACATACTGAGCCGATCAGAGGAGATCTCAAACGTGCAAGGCGGCCCAGGAATTTACAGGAACTAGAGGCTTGTTGCCAAAAAGAATGGGCAGCTTTAGAACCTCTCCACAACTACCACAAAAGACTCCACTCAGTCATAGATGTTAAAGGACAATACACGCCGTCAAGAACTGACGGAAGTAACTTCTGATCTTGATCATTTTAGATGTTTTTGTCGTCATTATAATTTGTAAATAGAAAAAAATTTAGCTTCACGCAACCACTAATAATAATAACAATAACAATAAAAAAACAAACATACGTTATACTTATCTCTGAAATATAACCCCCCAATATAATCTACATTTCTACATAACACTTTCAAGGACAACTGCACTACTGCGACTGTCTAAATATGTTTTTAGCATGATTTAAATGACTAAATGCAGTGAGTGGCTGCTGTGTGTCCTCTTTAGTCTTTCATTCTCTGATTAGTATCACTCTAACCTCCTCCCTTTGTTCCACTGATTGGGAAATACACATTTTCTGCTATAATCATAAACGCTGTCGTTACAACAGCAAGCTGCTGATTAATGTGACACACACTGCAAGATGAAGCTGATACAGAGGAGCGGGTGCAAAGTCATTAGAGGGAAATCAAAGTCACCGGAAAAAAATGTATTGTTTTAAATGAATCTATTCTTTGGGCCCATTTCTGTAAATAATTATACAGTATGAACGTCTCTGTTAACTCATTGACTGCCAGCCCATTTCAAAACAGGTACTCCCATATTGCCAGCCGTTTCTGGTGGTTTTTACTGATTTTTCAAGACCCACAGAATATTGTGTACTTTGACTATCTGAAATCTAAAACTAGATTCTGAAAGAATGGGCTGTCTACTCTCACCAGCAAAAAGAATTTTGTTTCTATCTTGTTTAGTTCTTCTGTAATCCCCAGTTGAGTAGAGGGAAGTTTTATTGAAATCACCAGAAAGCTGAGAAAAAAGGGCCACAAACAGTGCATCTAGCTGTGTTCAAACCATTCATAGCGCAATGCTGCCATCTGCTGGCTCCATAAAGTATTGCCTCAAGCCAATCTCCACATATTAGATTCAATGGACAGCTGGGAACGTAAAAATAGCGGGAAACGCAATTGACGTGTTAACACGTCATTGGCAGACAACGTTACTATTTAGTTTGACGTGTTAACACGTCAATGGCAGTCAATGAGTTTAAAGGAGCAATATGTAATATTTGCATGTCAAGTCATCACCCGAATATTTCAAAAGGCGTTATTAAATCATACTCTTTTCGAATTAATCTTTAACTGATAACAGTAGTTCAGCCGAGATATTTGATCATCAAAATTAGTTTTACGACCCGTAAAAGTTGTTATTGTTTTGATTTTGATGTCCTACCCTCCGCCGTTTCGCCAATCAGGAAGTGTCATGTAAGTCCTTGATCGGGTTGCCAGAACTCCGCGCGGCTCATTAATCTCAGAGGTAAAATAACATGTGGCGTAGAACTAAAAAAGGTCTTGTTATGACTCTCAAATAATTAATGACAAAACAAAGACTAAAACGAGGATTTATATCGGGATGCCTTTGAACAATTGAGACAGCTGATAAAAGTTTACGTGTGATGCAGAATTTTCTAGTTGGAATCCGTTCTTCACGGTGCCCTTATTTGTGTGAACCGGTGGCCTAGCGGGCTAAGCTGCGCGCTTACGATGCAGGAACCCGGGTTCGATCCCGGGCTATGTCTTTTTGTATTTATTGCATGTTATCACATTCTATGACAGATTGCTCTAAAAACGGTAAAAGATGAAGGTCAAGACGTTTTTTTGCAGATTATAGCTTAATTGTAAAAATAATCATTTAAGACCACATGTATCCCAATTAAAATAATGTTAGTCTCTTTTTGATGTGGGACTTTTACATGTTTGTTTAAAAAATAGGGAATAAATAAAATTGAAAGGTGATATCCTCTTGAGCAAACCCTGATGTTGATACGCTGAAGAAATACGTTCCAACATCCATTCTTCCCACTCCTATTTTGGACATCAATTTCTTATTTATTTTGCATAAACTATGTATAATTACATTGCTTTTATTTTATTTTGTTTTTGTTTTTTATCTCAAATGTCCAAATTATAATAATAAAAAAACATGAATCAAAACATTCATTCAGCATTAGCACGGCTGTCATGGCAATGTGAATGGAGACGGACAAACAACTGATAAAATAATTCCCTGTGTTTGCTGCTGGATTTGGTGTGAATCTGGCAACCTGAGTCAGGGAGAGTGGGAGAGGACTACAAAATATTGACTGTGACTGCAGTACCACTTTTGGCCAGATTTTTACATATTGCTCCTTTAAGTTTGACAACAATAAACACAAAAAAAGCAACCAAACATGGCTTTGTTGTGCAGCCTTACAAATGTGGTGAACGTTTTTATCTGAGTGCATTATTTGTTGTTATCAATAAAACGTAAAAAATTATAATACTTGATAATTTCACGATTATTATAATTATTAGTGTAAAATAGTGGTTGCGGTTGTGACAAGGCATATCGTGTTTGAAAGAAAACCATTCAAAGTCAACTTCAATATCAAACATAGAGTACAGTATAAAAAGATGCACAATGCTAACCCACTAGCTCCATGAAGCCCAACAGGGAAGTGGTCAGGGACAAAGTTTTGCTCCAACTCACTCTGACTCCTATTATCTTACATTGAGCTCAGTGACAGTATGTGTCACACTCACCATCTTGGGTGTAAAAATGTGTAGTTTATTTCATTTAATTTCAGTTAATTTAAAAAGAAAAATCTGTGGTTTAGTGCTATCCATAATGTTGGAGTTTATATTTTGATATTGACATTTTTAATCTAGCTTTGAGCCAGATATTGCCTTAGCAACCCTCTTGGCAATACATCTATTACGGCACAATGCTAACGCCGTTGGAACACATACTCATATAAGTAAATTGGCTCCAACTAGCTGATGTAATGAGAAGTAATGAGTTAAAATGTAGATGTAATTGCTGAATCCCACTAATGAGGAGGAGATCACAGAGAGATATACAGACATAGGGTTATAAATGCTCCTTCAGTAAAGCGAGGTCTGACAGAATTGATATTGCAGTGTCGTCACATCAACATACATACGCCACTGGTTCTCGTCACGTAGGGCTAGGGTCAGGTGTACTCACGTCGATGTAGTTGGCGTTGATGTAGTCCGAGTGTGGCTCCCCCTCCAGCTGTGGCAGGCGCACTCTGGTGTGGTCGTCTGTGGGGTCAGATGCACAACAATACAACAGGCCTAAAGTTACTTTGACTCACAGATCGGTGCGCCTCATAGCTGCAGGGAAGACTATCTAACCACCACACGGGGCACAGGGCACTACGCTGACACTATTCTAGACGTTTGGCTTGGTTTGGAGGGTCTCATCTCTTAAATGGAATAGTTGAAATACTGTTTTTAGTCACACAGTGAGAACCTGGGTGATTATGTTTTTGCAGTGAAAGGACACGATTGACAACTCTATATGTAAAGGGAGGATTCTGAATTGTCTTTTTACACAAAGTAGTTACATGTATTAGTTGTAGTTACATATAATAAATCATAAACAATAATACATTAAACATAGTCATTCTTTTAACCCCCTATTATCCTATTATCCTTCACCCAATTTAGATTTTTGATTTGATTAATGAACTGACCACATGCTGTAATGACTAAATTCTGTACCGATGAAATTGTGCTTTCTGCCAATTATTGTGTGATTTCTAAAAGGCCTCCGAATCCATCTCTTTCAGGTCTGAGCTGCTGTGTTCCAAGAAAAAAAAGATAATCACTACGTGAAGTGGACTCATTTAGTCTCATTACCTGCACTTTTCTGTTCTCTCTAATAGACCTCCATTGTTTTCTGGCCCACTCTCCTGCAGCCTGACATTACTGTGGTTAAATATCAGAAAGGGAATTAGGACGAGTACATAAAGACTAACCGCGAAAACAGGGAGTCCATCTTTATACTGCCATATCCATCCACCAGAGCATTGGTCTTCGAACCTATGACCCCACGACCCATGTCACCCAATCCCACTGATGTCTGCTGTCGTTGTGACCCTGGGCTAGACACTTAACCTCCACTTTGCCTGAAGCCCCAACTGAAACACAACAGTGTCTTCGTTGACAAAGCTTTCTGTGGAATCACCACCGGCCGCAGGATCAGAGAGGGACTGGTGCTATGACGATTGGGTGACAGCTTTGATTGCCACCCTCCCCCCCACCCAGAAATGGACTAATAAACGGTATGAAAACAAATGACAATATGAATGAATGATATCCATGCATTTCTAGGTTTCTTTGTTTGAATCACAATTTTTGCATCTCATTTGTTTCAATAGTGTTTTACATCATGGATTACATTATTTTAAGGATATGACAGGATGCTTAATGAATTAGGATACTTTTGCCCACATTTATATAGCCTTTTTCTACCTTTTCAAGGCACCCAGAGTACTTCACATCTCGGAACCCTTCACCCATTCACTCTATACACACATTCATACACCAGTGTACGCAAACTCTGAGTGAGCGACGGTCTCTCCCAAGGACACACAGCAGCTTTCCCCATCGAGAGGCACAATAGAAACGAGATGGAGTGAGATGGAGTGTTGTATACCGCATTTCTCATAGTTTTAATGTTATTGATTAAGACATTCTGTATGAACTCACCGACAAATTCATCTACCAGCAGCTTATTACAAGGCGCAAACTTGTGATGCATTCCTGTTTTGATTATCCTTTACGGCTGAAAGTGATCTTGAAAACCTAGCCTCAATTTCCACATCTGAGTATGAGGTTACAATAACAACAGTATGAGGCCATTATGCTATTTCTGAAAATTATATCAATTTGTTTTCATGTATGGCATTTTAAGAGGGTGAATGTCAAAGATTATATTGTGTCCCTAATTATTTTGTTGGACACACATACTTTGTTTGAACATATTAAACAGACAACGTTTTTTCACGGAATATCAACATTGGACTTTGCCAAGTTTGTCTTAATGGCTTTTGACAGCTCGGTGTTGACAGGTTTTCATTAAATCTGCTTCACCTTTTGTCCTTTTGGCCGATTTGCTCATTTGATTGGATCCATCCCGCCTCTCTCCTCCAGACAGCAGTGATTATACAGGCCTCACGTCAGGAGTTGTCATAACATGCAGAGCTCTGGCATGACTGTGGAAGTGTATATGGGGGCATCTCTCTTCCTTAGCCCAGGGAGGGATCTTATAATTGGGCTTTGGGTGCCGCAAATCTGGACACAAGCCTCGTGTTTGGGAAGTGCTTTGAATGAGAGCTGACTTTTAATACAGGGAGTATTCGAAACAGCGTTAAGAATTGAGGGGACATTTGTGAATTTCTACGCAACATCAAATGGAAATGAGAGGGAACAGCAAGAGCCAACGAGTCAGGTGCAAGATGTTCTCACAATCTTATGAATAATACGCTCTGATCATTTGACACGGATAATTAAACCCTGCATAAGGCATTGTCAGAATACAGAGAAACAAGACTTTCCTTCAATCAAGGCTTTTTTTTGTAATATGTATCTAACAAAATAAGTGTAAGCATATATATCATTTAGTAGCATTAAACAAATCTAAAAAGATGCACATAAATGTATTCTATTGTTTATGGACTAAGATCCAGCACATTAGTCATTGGTGCAGAAAATATCATAATTACATATTTTCAAGACTGTGGCTTTTAAAAAGTGTAAAGCCAACGACTTGGCAGCTCGTGTCACTTCTGTCACTAACTGACAGCAGAGCGCTATGACATTAAATTACAATAGTTGCACTTTGCCTGGAGTCAAACTATGTCACTCTATGTTCCACTTATTCAGGGCTTTTGTGTTAATTCAAATTGTCTGGTGCACAAAGTTCTTGGCTGATAACACACAAAGACATTTGAGCTACAGAATGTTCCGTAGGGTGAAAATATTATAATTTCATCGACTTAAGAAAGGGGCCATTTTGTTGTTGGGCAAAACAGATTTGAGGTAGAAGAGTTTTGACACTTCTCATGTCTTTATCCTGGACACAGTATAATTTTGGGTCACCAATGTTTTATGAAGCTTATCAACCTCCTGCAGAATGGATCATTGTGGCCTCTCACCTCTTTATTCACCAGAAAGAGCTGAGAGGCCAGTGAAAAGTGCATTTTAGGCATCACTTTACTCAGAGACAGGAGGCACAAGCAGCTCGTCTAAACACTACAATGACACAGATTGTTCATGCTTCCCTGTATTTATAGATCCTGTAAGTAAAATTGCACTTGGCCACACATATGTATACCATATTAAAAATGCCAATTAAATGCCAAGCGCCCACAGAAACGCTGGCATTTCAAAGTGGGAGTAAAGAGTTCCCAAACGCAGCTCCAAACTGCTGAAGAGGAGGTTTCTCTGCTTCTCTGAGTCCGTCACAGAGACTCAGGAGTGAAGCAGCTGCAGATGCTCGGGATTAACTCTGAGTCTGATCCAGTGTCTGTGTGTGTGTGTGCGTGTGTGTGTGTATGTGTGTGTGCGTGTATTGGATGCAGAGGATGTAAGCATCTTAAAGTGTGCACTGCTCACTTCACTCCAGATTTTTTTTTAAATATTCTGGTGTCACGCTGTCACCAAGACCAGTCTGAATATCACACATTGGGTTTGATGGTAAAAAGACGTTTTCTAACCTGGACACAAACTAACAAATGAAAGTGCCTAGAGAGCACAGACTCCAGCCTCTTTGTCAGACTGAACAGAGGCCAGATTAGAAACTGCAGTCAATTCAACAGAAACATATTATAATTCAAACATATGCATTATATTATTATAAACAAATGCAAAGATATATATTTTATAATTATTTAAACTATATGTTCAAGCCCTCTCTAGTCAGTGCTTGTAATGCATCTAATTTGTATGTTTTAAGTCAAAGTTGAACATTGTTTTCACAGTTTCAAGATAAACCAATTTATATGAAATAAAATAATTTAATCCAACCATGTAATTTATAAAAGGTCTGATGACAAACTAGTATCTTGATGTCTAGACAGCTGCACTTCTCATTAATCCTGACGGCTCCAACAATCAATTACCTCACAGAGTTGATAATCTGCTCTTGTTACAGATATCAAGTCCTCAGCTCCCCACAGAGCCACAACATAATGAGAGATAATCAGCAATGATCCACTTCTAATTAAAAACACAATCATTGTATAATGCGGTTTGTCGTGGCTCTTCCTCTGCACACTGTTCAATAATGAAAAAACAAAAAATCAGCTTTAGTTAGTGCTGATATAGAGCCATCCATCACATAATCAATAACACCAGAACACACACCATCATCTCTATTAACTGAGAAAGACGTCCTGCTGAGAGCTGCATCTGACTCTGCGTCACCATCCCAGCAATTTGTTCTGAATCTGTACAACGTCTATGCTCAAGCAGACAGACCGTATGTAAAAGAGAAATTAATAGGTCTCTTGTGGCTCACCACAGAGAACAGCTGTTCACATAAATATCTGAAAAGTGCAAAACCACAGTGAGATGAAACAGCTTTCCCAGAAGACTGCATCAGTCTGTGCATTTGAACACGCTGCTGTACGCTCACACCGTTTCTTCCAGATTCATCTGCTTAATCTGTCATGCTCTTAAATGTTTGAAAATTGAAATGAAAAATTAAAATAAACCATCCATCCAACCATTTTCTTCCCTTTAATCCATTTCTGGCTCGGGGGTGGCAATCAGAGCTGCACCCAGTTCACAGAGCACCAACCCCTCACTGATCCTCCTGCAGGTGGTGGGTCCACAGGAGCCGTGATTATTCAGCAGGGGCTTCAGGCAAAGTGGGGTTAAGTGTCTTGCCCAAGGACACAACAGCAGTGGACATCAGTGGGAGTTGTGAAATAGGTCTTATGGTGGGCTGGAACCCACAACCTTCAACCAAAGACAATTCGGGCGTTCTGCTCTCCCAAAATTCCATCCGATGGGCGGGGGAGCGACTGAATTTTGCGTTGCATTATGGGTAACACTTGCCTTCGCAACTTCCGGTTCTCTCTGCCCGGCGCATTTTCTCTAAATGGTTGAGTGTTTTCGTCATTTTCTGTATGCAAATACATTCCCGTCTCTAACTAGTGGCATATCGCGCAAATCATCCGTCCAATTCACATTCTTCCCTCTTAGCTGAACTTCATTCTCATTGTTACCATCTGTCACTCGCACACACAGCC